GATGATAACTTCCTCAATGGCTCAAGGGGGCGTTTCTTTCAAAAAGGTTAAGAACCACTGCTCTAGGGCACCTGTTGCCTGCGCCAGAATGCCCAGGATATCAGATTCATTTTGAGAGGCTAAATGAGGTACATGTCCATGGTCTAAAAATATTAAAAGAAAAATTCTAGAAATACTGTATATATATTTCTAAAGGTAAAGTTACCAGAACTGGCCACCAGAAGGAGTCAGAGACCATGCTATGCATAGCGTTTGCTATTAAAATAGCATTCGCTGTAGTCTGCATTTTTCAGCATCCATGGGAGAGGCTCAGAACTGATCCCCCGTGGATACAGGGGTCCTACTGTAGTCTTCACAGGACAAGGGAACCCAGCAAACCAGGCACTTGAGACTACAGGCCAGTTTTTCACAACTAGTTGTCCAGATATGTTTAACTGCAGTTCTCCACAATCTCTGCCAGGATGACCCAAAATTAGGAATGATGTGAATAGTAGTAAGAAACCTCTAGACGGTTTCAGTACGGTGAATGTTGAAGGACGCGCTTTCTGTACTTTGAGACTAACTCAGAGATTTATCCTGAAAAGGATGCATGTCGGACTTTAGACTTCATGTTGGGGGCCATCTATCTGAGCCACGTGGTGGTTTGGATCGGTCGTTCTCTGTAAAAATTATTTATTTATTTATTTGATTTTTACCCCACCCCTCTAGACCATGTCTACTCGGGGCGGCTTACAAAATAAAACAGAACAGTATAAAAATATATAAAATCATAAAATTACAATTACAATTTCAATTTAAAACAAAGGAGAAAGGAGAAAAAAGGAGAAAGACTTAATTGACTAGAGGGAAGGCCTGCTTGAATAACTAAGTTTTTAACTGGCTTTTAAAAACACCCAGCGAGGGTGCCAGCCCCTTTAGTTTTTGTGTGGAGATTGGCTGTAGTATTTGGGGAGAACTTGCAATGTTTTGTTCTGCTGGTAGGGAGGGAACAATAAATTAAGCCATCTCTTCTGTCTCCAGTGTTTGAAACAAAGGAAGAAAAAAGCAATGCGAAGATCAAGCCAAAGAAAGGCCGATCCACAGGCAGGAAGAATCCCGAAAGCCACTCTGTGGAGCCTTCAGAGGAAGAGGCGCCTTTCTTGAGAGAAGTCCCGCTTGAGTTCATTGACACAGTCTCCGTGCAGAAGGAGAACCCTTTGACCACCTCGCCAGCGCTGAAGCCAAAGTTGAAGAAAACCCTCAGTATCCTGAGCCACCCGGAAACATGTCCTTGTTCTCTCTGCTCTGACGTGGTTCTCTCCGCCGTCTGCCTGTGCTGGCTGGTGACCTCTGCGGAAAGGGAACTGGCCTTTGGGAACAAGGCCGAAGGGTTGGGCCTCCTTGAGACCGGCCTGCAACGGTGTACGAGAGTGGCTCTGCGCGTCTCCAACATGGTGGCAGGCATCTCTCAAGGCAAAAGCAAGAGAAGTGGGGCCCGGCATCAGCCCACCGTTGGGTTTCTTGACCCTCTGGTAGCCCATATTTATGTGACTTTGGCAAAACAAAGCCTGAGCGTCAATAGGTTGGAAAAGAAGCTCTGGAAGCTCCTGGAGAGCGGCTTAAGCTTCACGTCCTCCAAGGGGTCTCGGCTGCCCGGACTGGAATATCAACGAGCCCAGATGTTGCTTGCCAAAGCTGTAGCTGCCATCTCTGTCTTAGCCTCCCGTCACGATGGCCACGCAGAAAGAATATTTTCCCCTGCCTGGTCCTGGAAGTCTCCTTTGTTTCTCCAGGGAGAGGAAGAAACTAAACCAGCAGCCACCACAACTGAGGCAACTTTAGATGGATTTCTTCCTCAGGCTCCAAAACGCAGAACGCGGAGGCTGCCGGGAGAGGCCCCTAAAGCAAAGCCGAAGAGAACCCAAGGAACCAAACCCCTGCCGGTCCTCCGACCCCACGATGCGTTTGCCCTGGCTGACTCCGACTCGGAGGCTCCTCCGATCATCCTTCGCCCCCCTGTGGAACACTGTACCCCAGCCCAGAAATCCTTACCATCCTACAAGATGAGCGGCTCTTCAGCCGCCAAGCAGAGCCGTGCCCGCCGGGCTCCGTTTGTAGTTTTTGAGGACGCTTCTCCCAAGCCGAACAAGGAGCTTCCGAAGGCCCCCAAAGTGACGAGGAGAATGAAGTCTCGCATCAAGGTAGTTCGGGGGGGGCAGTAACATGGGGGAGGGACCCTTGCCGAGAGATCTTGCTCCATCTGTCAAACGACTTGATTCGGTTTCCGTTGAAATCTAGATCTTGCCAATGTGTAGAAACGATAGTTCAAAGGAAATCAAATCCTGTTCCTTGGTTGTACGTGTGATAAGGGACCCTTTGGCCCACCAGATGTTTTTGGGCTACAATCCCGACAACCCTTAAGGCACTAGTCATGTTGACGGGAACTGATGGGAGTTGTAGTTTAAGAATATATAAAGGGCCATAGCCCTGCCTCTGGTCTCAAAGCGTGTATGTCTCAGTATGTTTTCAGTCCGGACTAAAAGGAGAATATAACTGAGGACTGAGAATCATCCACGCTGAGGCCTGCATGCCGTCTCAAGGCCCTTTTTAAAATGATAGTAGATCTATTTATTACAGTACAGTTAAAGACTGGGGGGGGAGGGGGCCCCTTAAAAGGTGAACTAAAGACTGGGGGGGAGGGGGCCCCTTAAAAGGTGAACAGTCCCTCTTAGAATCTTCATACCACTGGTGGGGGGGAGCTCAACTCACTTGAAATGAAATCAACCCCACCCACTCCCCCACCCTTTAAAAGCTTTGAACAGTATTTGGCTGTTTCTGGCTTGTTTGTTTGTTTGTTTGCCTTGGGGCGAGTCTTTGTAGGGCTTGCGGTGGGCCACTGACCCCTGGAGCCCCAGGGCTTTCCCCGCTTCTGATAGACCTTAACTCTTAGTCAAGTTACTTCCGATTAAGCCTCTCTGACACTCCAGGTGTTGCTGGACCCCCACGACTCTCCTTGCATGGTCCTTCACAGAGGAGTTGCTGGCCCCCAGTCCCTTGCTTGGTTTAGTTGCATGTTTCCTTTGAGGGCTTCTCCACAGAATGTTTCCGCTGCAAAAAAATGTCCAGTTTGGGGCTCAGTATCCCATTCCAGAGATCAATTGACAAAGGGCAGGTTAAAATACATGAAGAAATTAGGAGAGACTTTGATTTGCTGGTTCAGCTAATCTAGGATGAGCGTAGCTGATCACAGCCAAAGGATGACCTAATCCAGTTTCCTGGCTCCCATAGAGGCCAACCTGAGACTTCTAGGAAGCCCAGAAGCAGGACACAAAGTCCTCTCTTACTGCTATTTCCAAGTTAATGCTGTTCAGAGTCATACTGCTTTTGAACATGGAGGTAGGGTACACCTATCACATCCCATGAGGTATTAGTTCCCCTCTATTCAGCACTGGTTGGGCCTAATCTAGACTACTGTGTCCACTTCTGGACACCGCACTTTAAGAAGGATGCCAATAAACTGGGGCAAGTGCAGAGGAGGGCAACAAGGATGATCAGGGGACTGGAAACCAAACCTATGAGGAAAGACTGAAATTACTGGGCATGTTTAGGCTTAAGAAAAGAAGACTGAGGGGAGATACGATGGTACTCTTGAAATACTTGAAAAGCTGTCATACCGAGGAGGGGCAGGATCTGTTCTCTATCATCCCAGAATGCAGGACACATACTAAGAGGCTAAAGTTACAGGAAACCAGATTTTAGTTGTTTAGCAGGAGAAACTTCCTGACTGTTAGAGCAGGTCAACAATGGAACCACTTACCTCGAGAGGTAGTAAGCGTTCCAAGGCTGTCAGATCTGCTTTGATTTGGATTCTAGCATTGAGCAGGGGGTTGGATTTGATGGCCTTACCGGCGCCTTCCAACTCTATGATTCTATGATTTTATGGATAGTCTTGTCCTCTAGGAATTTCTCCAGAATCAATTTTTAAAGTTGTTGAATTTTGTTGCCATTAATCCATTTAGTGGCACAGATTTTCTTTGGTGATCTGAAGGGAAAGCAAACCTGTTTGTCTTCTCCAGGCCCTCTTCAGTAATGACAGTGACAGTGAAGACCCTCCAGAGGCCAAACCAGTGCCACAGCTCCCTGCTGCCAAGGAGCCCACGATCATCCCTCGCAGGACGGGGCAGAGGATGGCATCTGGCCAAAAGCTATCTAAGGGAAGCCTTGCTAAAGTGGAAGGATGTGGTGGTAGCTCCTCAGAGGACTGCTCTCAGGTGGGGAAGGCAAAGCCCCGTCCTGGAAGGCCCTGCACCAGGAGAGCTGGTCGACGAGGAAGGAAACCAGAAGGAATCCAAGAAGGGCCTTATGAGGAGACAATGGGCAAAGTTCAGGATGAACAGGGACGAGGAGGAGAAGAAGAAGAAGAAAAGGAGCTGCTGAGGACCATTGAAGAGGGGCTTGAGGCCAGTTTTGAAATCTTCCGGGGTTCTGATGAAGATATTAAAGGTAGGCTGGACCATATGAGGAACCCTAGAATGGATTAGGTCAGAGACTGGTGGCACGTGGCTGGCGGCACGTGGCCTTTGCCTGTGGTTAGTTTTTGCCCTTTCCAGAACCCTCACACCAACAATGCTATCAAAATTCAGGAGCAAAACAAATCCCTTTCAAGCAAGATTTCTTTGCCTGTTTTAAAGCAGTACTCCTGGTTTGCTCCTGAATTTTGATGGTTTACTGTATGTTTCTGTGTACACGACCCCCCAATGTATAAAACGACCCCCTAATTTTGACCCTTGATGGAGGCGGAGGAGCAGTTCATGGGCAGCGACTCCTCCACTTCTGTCTCCTCCTCCTGCTGCTGCTGCCTCCGCTGCCCGCCCGCTCACCTCCACCAGTGCAACTGCTGGGGCTCACCTCCAGCTCACGTCGCTGCCGTTTCCCTTGCCCTAAGGAGACGATCACTGGAGGAGGTGATCCAGCGGCAGTGCCAGGAAGAGGCGCCCGAGTGCGTGCGAGTGCTTATTTGCCTCCGCCGCCGCCGCCTCCTGCCTCTGCCACCAGAGGGGACAAGGCGGCGATGTGAGCTGAGCCTGCCAGTCCCACTGGAGATGGTGATTGGGCGGGCAGGGGAGGCAGCAGCAAAGAGGTGCCCGAGCGCGTGTGACTGCTCCTTTGCCTCCACCTCCTGCTGCTGCTGCTTCTGCCTCGGGGCCACTGGAGGGGAGAAGCCGCGAGCTCTGGAAGGGGCAATTGGGCGGCAGCAGCAAGAGGCGCCCGAGCGCGAGCGAGTGGGTGACTGCTTCCTTCTGTGTATAAAATGACGTTGGGCGGCGGCAGCAAGAGGCACCCGAGCGCGAGTGAGCGGGCGACTGCTTCCTTCTGTGTATAAAATTTAATTTTTCCTCTAATTATTTTAGGAAAAAAGTGTCATTTTGTACATGGAAAAATACGGTAATCCATAATGACTTTTGGAGAGATAGTGTGTCATCCCCCCCGCCCCCCACAAGAACTGCTGAGCTGCTTGTCTGTGGAACTGGGTTGATGGATGTTTCCTGCGAAGCAGTGGGAGTGGAAATGTGAGGCTTTGAAGAGGAAATTTAGTGGCCTCGAGCCTCTTTTATGAGAAAAGCAAAGTCTAAAGAAGAACAAATGAGTGATATGTTAAGAACAGGCTCCACTTTGGTAATAGAGCCGAGGTGGTTCTCTTGCTTTCCTAAGTAAGAGGTTTCTAAATCAGGTTGTTGAAGTTTGTTGGGCTGATTCCTTCTGCCACTCCATTCAGAATTTCAAGCAGAACTTGCCGTGAAGGGTTTCTTGTGCCATAGGCTTTTATGGCTTTTGTGCCTCTCAAGTAGTTTTCAGCCCATTCAAGTGTATTGGCATTTCCCTTTAGGGAGGATTCTCCACAATTGTAAAATATAATGTCTTTAAAATCATAGAAGGCTTCCTCAACCCTGGTGCCTTTCATAGATGCTAAGCTGCAACTGTCATGGCTGTGCTGGTTTGGGATGATAAAGCCCTAGTCAAGAGTGCAAGACTGTGAAAGGCTGCCTTACCTTTTTGATGTCTTGATTTTCTCCCCATGAGCTTTCTTGGGAAGACCTAGTCCCTGTCTCATCGTGCAGGGCGTGCTTCTGTGGAAGTGTGCTAAAGGCAACATTTGGCTATTGTCACTGACAGATGGGCACATTTTTTTTCTCTTGACAGAGTGTGAAAGGCAGGCAAATACAGAAGATGACCAAGAGGTTCTCCGGCGAGATGCCAGCGGTGATTGTCCCGTGGAGGTTTTCCAGGCTGCAGACAACAGGCCCTCAGAGGACCCTTTCGACCTGTCTTCCCTGGCCTCTTCCTTGGATACACCTGCCAGTAAGGCCCAAGGAGGGGATCACTCTTCTTCTCCCTCCTCCTCCTCAACCCCCTATATAGTTATGTCATTATCAGAAAGGCTTCCTAACAGGTCATGGCAGACCCTTCAAGCCATCCTGTTCTGGGTGGAGAGCTTGTTCGCTTACCTGACAGAGCTGTTGCCGTTATAAAATGGGAAGAAGATCCAAATATAAGTTTGCCTTCAGTGGGATCATGTGTTGTTGTTGCTTTGCTTACATTGTTAAATTGACTTAAAGAGGAATAGCCAAAGTGTGGTCCTCCAGGGACCAGAAATGGGCCTCTAGAGCTTCTGTAATTCCTAAAAAATGTTTTTAGAACTTGGGGCTCAGAAATTCACTTTGTGCTGCCCGGATGACCTGGGAGGAAATTTTGCAAAGGCTCAGTAGTACCCCTTACAATCTCCCAAAATTTTAAAGTCATTAGAAAGAGCAAAGTTTTTTTTTAAGTTAAAAAAACTTTTCTTTTTCTTTAAAAAATGTTTTTGAGGGGGCAACAAGAACATCCCTCCACAGTCCAGAGAAGGATATGTGTAGGTTTTCAACCCTTAAGTATTGTCCTATTTCAAATATTTTTTAATTATTTGAATGGTTTTGTATGTTTTTAAATATAGTTTCATTGTTTGTGTCGTGCTCTAAGCCTGTTGATAAAGGGTGAGTTAAAAATGTTTAGCTTAAAAAAATAAGGACCAGGGATGGAAAACATGACCCTGCCAATTTTCATCAGTCTCAGTGAGCATGGCCAGTAGTTGGGGACCAAGGAAGTTGTACTCTACAGCAGGGGTCCCCAAGCTCTGGTCAGTGGCCTTGCCAAGACCGGGCCGCAGAGACAAATCTCCTGCCCCCCCTTCTGGTCAGTGGCTTTGCCAAGACAGGGCTGCAGAGACAAATCTCCTGCCCCCCAACACACACAGACACGTGCACGCCCCACCCACGCACACACGACCCCTCCCATGCCTCCCCGCATACACACTAACACGCACAGACACGTGCACGCCCCACGCACACACGACCCCCTCCCATGCCTCCCCGCATACACACTAAAGCGGTCCGTGGAGGCAAAAAGGTTGGGGACCACCACTCCAGAGTATGTACCAGCTGGTTCCCAATTTGGAACACGCACAGACACGTGCACGCCCCACGCACACACGACCCCCTCCCATGCCTCCCCGCATACACACTAAAGCGGTCCGTGGAGGCAAAAAGGTTGGGGACCACCACTCCAGAGTATGTACCAGCTGGTTCCCAATTTGGATAACCCATGCCACTCTACAGTATGTACCAGCTGGTTCCCAATTTGGATAACCCATGCATTTTTTTTACTACAACTCCCAGAAACCCTGGCCAGCACAACTGTTGGTGAAGGCTTCTGGGAGTTTAGTCCTGGGTGACCCATGGTGGCGGAAAGGCAGAGATCTCACACATTATATACAAGTGGGAGGGAGGGGGGAAGGGAGGGTGTGAATCCCACATTTTAGGAACTGCAGTAATAATTGATTTACATAGTAAAACAACGGATCTGAACATACATACAGGTTGTCATTTACAAAAGTTATTAAAGTAGCATTCTTCCCAAATTGCAGCTATTGCAGACTTGCTGTCCACCAACTCAATCTATGACACGTTGCAAGCCGCCTTCCACTTAGTCAGCCATTACCCTTCGGGAACCCTCTACAGCCGTCTCTGCCAGCTCATGGCCCTGTGTATTGGGAGCCGGGACCCAACAGCTACAGCCTACCTGGTTTCTGAGTCAGTGGCTGTCACTCTTCGTCATCAGATAATGACTGTCATTCACAGGAAACTCAAGTAAGAAAAGGAGGGTGGTATATGTTAGTCTGGAGAATGTCTTGTTGGTATTGAGTGGAGATGAAAGAATAACAAATAGACCCTCAAAAGAGGTTACCTTTGGACTTGCTGCCCTAAACATACTTCCTGATAGGAAAGCAGTGAGCCCAGATCCTCCTCCTCCTCCTCCTCTGAAAGCAGGACATTTTCCTATGGATTGTACACTGAATGGGATATAAACCATGTCTAGTTCAGCAGAACTTCTGTAGAGTTTATGGAAACTCAGCGGTCAGGGAATCATACAGTGACTCAGGAGTATTTGGGATGTGGACGGTAAAGAGTACTGAAGCCTTCTTGACCATGGCGTACAATGCAGAACAAGCCTTGCTTGGAAATAGCAGTTTCTGAGTTTTAAAGATTTATAAGACTTTCCCCAGGGGACTGAAACAGGGCATTCCTTGTAGATGGATTCCTCCATAATGCCTCTAGAGTGAAAGAAAGGTGCAGAGTTGTCCTTACAAACAGATCGAACAAGGCAATGGCTTTAGCAAGCAGATGTGGCTTCTGGGGCAGAAATGGCTTCCCTTTGGCCATTCCTTTCCGTAGCAGGACCCAGCTGCATGAGCCGACGCAGCCAGTCCTATTTGCCCTGAACTGGCCTCCCACCCTCAATGTGCTCTCCCTTTGCCAATATTCTACTGACAGCCCCTTTCAGCTGTTACGTGTGTAGATTGTGCAGGCCAAGTATAAGGCCCTTGCCTTGGAGAGCAAAATGTCCTTTTCCAGCCTTGCAGCTTAATTTTCTAAAATTATTCTGCAACATTAACACTGTTAAAATCCATACCCGTGGAAAACAGAAGCTGGTTGGCTATCACTGTAAATGTAACAGATTTCAGTTTATGTTGTTTTTATAGGCTATCGAGTTGCTTCTGATTTGCAGTGACCCTAGGAATCAGTGAATTCTAAAAGATACAATCATGAACCAGAGTCTTCTAAACGAAAAACTGTACTTTTTAGGAGTTCACAATCTGTACAGTCATCTTCCTGGTCATGGTTTTGCAGACAGAATAGAACTAATTCATCTTCCGCTTCAAATTATAGTCTGTTTGCCGTCCATATTGCCTATTTGGTGATTCCATGTGTACAATTCAGTCATCAGCTCAGTTACCTGAAGCATCTGTTTTCAACAAGTAGAATCATAGAATAATGGGGCTGGAAGGGCATTGAGTCCAACGCTCTGCTCAAGGCAGGAATCCACATCAAAGTAGATCTGATGGGTAGTAAATAAATGGTTGCTTCATAGAATTCCACAGCTGGCTCCCCTGCTTCACTTCTAATGTCTAAACTGGATCCTTTGGCAATGTTAAGTTGTCCATATTGTCTATTTGGTGATTCCATGTGTACAGTTCAGTCATCAGCTCAGTTGCCTGAAGCATCTATTTTCAACAAATAGAATCATAGAATAATGGGGCTGGAAGGCCATTGAGTCCAACCCCTTGCTCAAGGCAGGAATCCACATCAAAGTAGATCTGATGGGTAGTAAATAAATGGTTGCTTCATAGAATTCCACAGCTGGCTCCCCTGCTTCACTTCTAATGTCTAAACTGGATCCTTTGGCAATGTTAAGTTCTGCTTTAAAGTGGACCCTCTACTTACAGAATTAATCCGTATTGGAATGGTGGCTGCAAGTCGAAAAGTCTGTAGGTCGAATCTCCATTGACTTACAATGCATTGAATACCAATTAATCCCATAACTGGCAGTTTTTATTCTATTTTTGTTCCATTTTGATTTTTTTCTGGTCTGTAAGTCGAATCTAAATTTTGCGGCCAGAGAAGTCTGTAACTTGAAAAGTCTGTAAGTCGAGGGTCCACTGTATTTTCAGGTTTGTTTTTTCCTTCATTCCAGTCATCTGTGATTATGATTATTATCTGATCTATTTCTTCCCGATCCTTCCTTGTGTTTTATATACTTGGAACATTGGAGGGTCAGGTGTGTTCTGAAGCATCTGAAACATAATATCTGAAATGACTTCCCATTTCCTCCAGTATGCCTCTTTGAGAAGGCTGTATCTCAGTCACACTTCCCTCTTGTTCCATCCGTAGCAAAATGAGAAAGGCATCTGTGGTCAGTGCCTGCAGACAGTTGGAAGCTCTTAGCCTGCAAGAAGGAAAAGCGGATTCTCGGGCGCAGCACCTCTCAGAGCTCCAGAGCCTCTTTGAATTCAGCTACCCTACTTCAACCGAGCTGGGGACAGAGACCTTCAAGAAGCAGCTACGACAAATCCCCCATGGTATATGGCTGTTTTGGATGAGGGAGAGGGGATAAGGGATGATTGCTCTGGGGTAAGCAAGTAGGGCTCTTCTAAATAGCCAGACAGTAGCATTTATGCTGCAGCGGCAGGAAGGGTATAGGATTAGAGATGGGTACGAAACTAAAAATGAACCAGGAAGTTTGTTTAAAATTGCTGTTTCATTGGTTCAGGTTGGTTCAGTTTCGGCAAACCCAGAAAACATGAACCAACCCGAACCATGAACTTTAAAGCAATTTTCATGAACTTCCTGGTTTGTTTTCACCTCTGCCCCCTTCCCACTGCCCCTGTTGTCTCCTTGCCTGGCCCTGCCGCCTCCTCTTCCTTCTCCTCTTTGGCCATCTTGAGAGACAACAGCTTGGCTTCCCTTCTGGGAACCCAGGCTGGTTATCTCTGCGCATGTGCCTGCCGGGCACGAATGTTTTTTAAAATCTAATTGATTCGAAATTTGTTTTTTAAAAAGTGCTCTGCCTCATTCCCACTGCCCCTGTTGTCTCCTTGCCTGGCCCTGCCGCCTCCTCTTCCTTCTCCTCTTTGGCCATCTTGAGAGACAACAGCTTGGCTTCCCTTCTGGGAACCCAGGCTGGTTATCTCTGCGCATGTGCCTGCCGGGCACGAATGTTTTTTAAAATCTAATTGATTCGAAATTTGTTTTTTAAAAAGTTCAGGTGATTTGTGGGTATTCAGAAACCACAATTTCTGTGGTTCATTCCCATCTCTATTTAGGATCTTGTAACAAAAGAAAAGGTTTGGGTTCTTGTAACCTTGAACGCCCCTTCATGGATTGCTGCCTTGCCGTGGCAAAGGGGCTTGAGTAATTCAGAGAAGCTACGGGCTATGCTGTGCAGGGACCCCCAAAACGGACCGGTCATAGTGGAGAGTTCTGACTAAAGGCGATCCACCTGGAGCAGGTACTGGCAAGCCGCTCCAGTATCTTTGCTAAGAAAACCCCATGGAAAGAAACAAAAGGCTAAAAGATATGACGCTGGAAGATGGGACTCTCAGGTCGGAAGGCGTCCAACATGTTATTGAGGAAGAGTGGAGGACAAGTACAAGTAGCTCCAGAGCTAATGAAGTGGTTGGGCCAAAGCTGAAAGGATGTTCAGCTGTGGACCTGCCTGGAAGTGAAAGGAAGGTCTGATGCTGCAAAGCCAGGAGGCAATGGAAGACAGGAGGGCCTGGCGTGCTCTGGTCCATGGGGTCATAACGAATTGGACACGAATTAATTAAAGCTTACAAGACTCCAGACTGAGAACATAAAGTGTGCAACTCAAATTGACACTGAAACAATGAACAGGAAGCTGATCCCTAAGTTGAAGTCGTGTGCTCTCATTTTCCCTGAATTTATATAGGTTATTGGGCATGTTGAACGGTACAGTACAGAGGCTTTGGGAAACAGATACTGGGAAGGGAGGAAGTCAATGGGGGGAAATGTGGGTCCCGCCGATGCTGAAGTACAACTGTCATGCCTGTCTATTAGGAACACTCCTGTCTTAACAAATGCAAGGTATGTTGTGCTGGAAGCCAGTTTGACCCATATTACTCTTCATCAAATATATGGGCTGCTTTAACTATCACGAGCCATTCTCCACATGGTGTAAGCATGGTCTGTTTAAAAATAAGTAACTTGATGCATCCTTCTTTCCCCATCACAGGAGTGACAGTGTGCATACTGACCCTGGTGAGCATCCAGCCAGACACTGTTGGGGATCTCCTCCTGCTGACCCGCCTGGAAAAGGATGCCACCCCTGTGACAATCCAGATACAGAGTGTCCATTCCAAGGTAAGTGCAGCCGGGAACAGAAATTGTGGCATGCCGCCTCCCGAGGGCAGGTCGAGGTCCCTCCCTCACAAGGTCTCTTTGTTTTGCAGATTCCCTTAAGCGCAGCGCTCGGCGAGTTTGATGCTATCTTGCAGAAGCAAAAAGAGATCTCTAACTGCACGGAGAAGGAGGAGTGGTGGAATGGGCGGATTGCTCTGGATAACAGAATGAAGGTGAGTGGGTGGCAATTTGGTACAGCCTTGTCAATCAGAATTCTCAACCCTATGGTTGTCCAGAGCCAGAAAAAAAAAAGCCAAAGCAGTTATAAGCAGCTGTAGGTCTCCTTACACACTTTTGCTTTGTGTCCTTTTGCTACCAAAGGATGTTGGTGGTGCTGCTACTTCATAGGCCAGTGTCTGATCTTCTTGCCATTTTTTTTTAAAAAAAAACATTTTCCCCTCTTGATTCCTGCATTCTTTGTTCTTCTCCTACCTGGACTTTCAGGCAACGGCATTATTTTCCTGTGTTTGCCACCAGGACTGAAAATAAGCAGCACATTTGTGGAGCGTCCCCCTGCTCTCAACCCCTTCATAAACTCATGGAAGAATGACATTGGGAAGGGGCCTATAAGGCCGCCCAGTCCAGCCCTCTGCTCAATGCATGTCTCTTGGTTTCCCCCTTCCCCTTGGCAGCAGGAGGCAACTGGGTGATAGGCGATCCCTGTTTGAAGAACTCTTCCTTCACTCCCTAGGCTTTGATTGAGTCGCTGGAGAGAGACGTGCTCGGTTGCTGGAGGGGTGCCCTGCTCCCAGCCGGCGAGGATCCGAGTCTGGCAGAGGAAGCCCTCTGCTTGCAGACACGTCTTGAGGAGTGTGGCTGTCAGGAAGTGGATCTGGCACTACTCAAGGTGAGTCACGGCTGTCGATATACATGTCCTCCATGCACATTCCAAATCCTTTTGGAAAACTGTCCCAAGTCACTAGACCTCACCCCAACACATGGCAGTGCAAGGATGGAGATCATGCATCCCTCCATGTTTTGCCAGTTGGCATCTCCCAGCATTCTTCCTTGTCTCTTCTGTCTAGGTGTGATAGGAAGTGCAGAACAAACATACAGTATTTAGAGAGCCTCACGGTCCTCGTTTCTGTGTTGTATGAAAGATATGTCTCCATTGAAGTACCTGGATCTGAGCAGCACAGTTTTGGTTATACCCTGGTTCCCCCCCTCTAATGAATGAATGGATAAATGAATGAATGAAGGTTCCCCTCCCCCCAATAAATAAATGAATGAATAAACATTCAATAAATACTGTACTGCTATTCATCTCTGGGCAGTGGCCTGAGACAGGTGGGTCTCAGGCTTCCCTAAAGCCCTGTTGGTGGCAGTATGGTGGCTGCCAGGCTGATGGTGGTGGTCCTCTGGGCAGCCCCCTCTCGTGTCATGGCAGCTCCACGTGGCAGCCAGGGAGGAAGGACGGCTAGGGCATGCTGGAGGCTGACATGGATGGGTGGAGGTGTGTGTTCATCAACTGTTTATACTTTGTAATTATGTTTTTGCATAAGAGTTACACACAGATTTTGAAGTACACGGGGGTCCAGGCCCCAAACCCCCAGCATTGTTGGGAGGTTCTTTATACTTTGTAATTATAACTCTGTCCTGATTTTGCCTCGGACCAATTTCATTAAGTAATTCTCTGTTGTTCATGGAAGGTTTCCTTATGCACATATCATAAGAGTTACACACAGATTTTGAAGTACACGGGGGTCCAGGCCCCAAACCCCCAGCATTGTTGGGAGGAAGAAATGTATTTTTGTTTTGTTTTTAAACTCTGTCCTGATTTTGCCTCGGATCAAGTTCATTAAGTAATTCTCTGTTCATGGAAGGTTTCCTTATGCACATATGTAAATGCTTTCTCTCTCACCATGTAGATCATAACAATCAACTTCTGCCTTATGACCTGCATCTTCCACCCCTTTAAAAAAACACAGTCTTTGGGTGCTTTTAATATTTAATTATTGGGTATATTCTCCAACACCTTTATTTATTAAGCCAGCCTTTCTGCAGGTGGGTGGTCCCAAAGCAGCTCAAAAGTTTAGCCCTTCTGTGCCTCTTGACCTTTGTCTCACTAACAAAGGGTTGTGCATGATTGTTGTGTGGCAGAAAGAGTACAAATCAAATTCCTATTCTTCTCGAACAGGTCATGCTGACTGGGTCACATCTCCTGACCCCAGAAGATGTGCAGTGTTTGGTACTGGGGCTGAACTCCTCAGAACCTGAGAAAGCCCAAAAACTTCTGCAGGAGGCAGTGGACAAAGTGGGAGAACGTTCTGCTCCGGCATCTAGCGGCCATGTGGTTCTCGTGCTGGACAAAGTGGGTGACCGATGTCTTCCACCTTGTTTTATTCTTGGGATGGGGCGAAAGACAACTGCAAGGGTGCATCCTTGCCTTGTGGAAGGAAGGGGTGGTGGTTGGTGCTGCTTGGGTCCCTTTCCCAGTGGGGAGAAGGAATGGGAACTCCCTGTTGCTTCACTTGGTCCTTGGGTGCTGCTCTTCTTCTTCTACCCACCGCCACTTCCCAAATGACTCTTCAGAACCAGGGTTTGAGAGGACAGCTTGTGGCTTCTCTCTTTCTGATTATCTGGAGGGAAACTGTCTGCCCCATTCCAGAGCGTGCAGGAGGGGAGAGATTGGTCTTTCGTTTTTGCTCCATTGATTATAGCTGTCCCCCCACGTGCTACCGAGATGTAATAGTGGAACCTCGACTTACGAACGTCCCTCTGGTCTTTCGTTTTTGCTCCGTTGATTATAGCTGTGAAAGAGCGCTGGACTGAACAATAGAACGGCTCTTTCCTCTCATCTGGAGGAAAGGGGGACTGAATTCCTAGTTTTCTCTTCCAGCATTTGCAGAAGCTTCCCTGGGAAAACATTCCATGCTTGCGAGGCCAGTCCGTGACCCGGTTGCCATCTTTGCGCTTCCTGCTTAGCTACTCACTTGCCAAAAAGGTAAAGAATTGCCCTCAGAGGGCAAAGCAGTGACTTGGTTTTCTGGGCTGCACAATAGAACGGCTCTTTTCTCTCATCTGGAGGAAATGGGGACTAAATTCCTAGTTTTGTCTTCCAGCATTTGCAGAAGCTTCCCTGGGAAAACATTCCATGCTTGCGAGGCCAGTCCGTGACCCGGTTGCCATCTTTGCGCTTCCTGCTTAGCTACTCACTTGCCAAAAAGGTAAAGAATTGCCCTCAGAGGGCAAAGCAGTGACTTGGTTTTCCTCTTGGTTTTTGCTTTGTTACTCAAAAGGTAAAAGGTACCTTCTTGGGATGGCAGAGATCCTATGATATTATGCAGGCTATACATGTTGATTTAGGCCCCTGGCTGTGGAGCCAGAGGTTGGGAGTTTGATTCCCTGTTGGGCCTCCTTGACAGGGGCTGGACGCGGTGATTATAGGGTCCCTTCCAGCTCTGCAGTTTTAAGATGATGATGTGATTATAAATAAATAAAATGAATAAATAAAATGAATAAAATGAAATAATCCCTGTCCAACTAGAAGATGCAAGAGTGTGACCCAAGTGTTGAACTGATCACCACTTTTAAAGAATTTATTTAATAACCAAAGGCACCTACTACTTGTGCCTTATTTGCATAGGTGTTAAGTTTTGGAGAAGGATGAAGGAAATCAGGGGTGCATGAGCTTTTATCTAAACCAGACGTTGCCTTCCACATGATGCTGGACTTCCGCGCTGGTCAATGCCAACCCGTATGGCCTATGGTCAATGATGGGAGTGGTATTTCAGCATCACTTCAGAGAGCCTGAAATTACTTACCTCTAATTAGCCAAGAGGGTCATTTTCTAGATCTAAATGAGACATTGGTCTAAGCAAATATTGTGTATTCGAGGGGTGTATTGGTTTTAATTTTTCCTAAATAAATTCTTCGCCTTCTTAAAGGCTCAGTTCTGAGGTTTATGTAAGTCAACATTGCTTTTTAATTGGATTAATTTAGGCTACTCCTATTTGTGGAAAGGGGCAGTGAGGGTGGTAAGATGCTGAAACATTGCTTGCAAGAGGACATTTCTTCTCCATGCATGCACTCTCTTCTTTGGTGAATTCCCTCCTCAAGGCTATGCCCCATGGAAATCCAAAACCACTTACCAAGCTTTTATCTGTTTCGTCTCCCAATGGATAAAACCAAATCTTCTGCCTTTCTTTTAACAGTATCAGGAAGAGACTGTTCTCCACCAGGGTGTCAACAGCAGCAACACCTTCTACGTTTTAAATCCACACACAAACCTCCCTGGAACAGAGAAGATTTTCAGAGATTGGTTTCAGAGGTGAGTATCTGTACACAGTATCTTGTGTCTATACATTCATGCCTGTGGTTAGAGGTTGGGAAAGTTACTTTTTTGGACTAGAAGTGGCCAAGGGTTCTGAAAGGGAACTATCCCAAGTTTTGTGTTCATGTGCTGTCCGGAGACCTTGAGTCTTTCAAGTAAGCAAGCTCCAGGGGCTTCCTTTATGCTAACGGAGAGCTTTCCAAAGTGCTAAATGAAGGTGCAGCTGGCACTGATTAACTCTTACGCTCCTAATTACTCACTAGTGAGCCTGGATGGTCAGGAGTTGTGGGAGAGGTTCCTGGTGCAGACCAAGTCCCGCTGGCCCTGGAAGAACGCGATCTCTACATGTGAGTATGTTATGGAGCTCTGCCCTTAGCCAGTGATGAAGGAGAAGACGGGGACCGTGATATAAATGGCTGCACAGAAGCATGCTATAAAGAGTTCTCTTAAAATCGGCAAAGTTCTGTAATTTTTGAGGTAGGGTAGACTCATGGTATCCTACTTACTAAGTTGACCCGGCTGGAGGTATTATTCTGTCTTCTGCACTTGGATTGCACATACAGGGGTGCCTGGCTTAACAAGGATAATCCGTTCCAGCGAAATCGTTGTAGAGCGAAATCCTCGTTAAGCAAAAATAAAAAACCCATTGAAATGCATTGAAAACCTGTTCAATGCATTCCAATGGGCTGAAAACTCACCGTCCAGCGAAGATCCTCCATATGGGCGGCCATTTTTGCTGCCTATAAAGCGAGCAATCCGTCCAAAAACACAGTGGGAAGCCATTTTACACAGCGGGCAGCCATTTTGAAGCCGCCGATCAGCTGTTTTAAAATAGTTGTAATGCAAAGAATCGGTTCCCGAAGCAGGGAACCGATCGTCGCAAAGCGGACTTTGCCTATTAAAACATGGTTTTGCGATTGCAAAAGTGATTGCAAAAAGTTCATTGTATAGCAGTTTCAGCATTTAACGAAGCAATCGTTAAGCGAGGCAACACTGTAATGTTTTTAATGGAATTCTTTTTAATGGAAGTATAAGGTGGCCTTTTGCAGTGAGGCCTGGAATTTTTCTAGACAGCGAAAAGTATAAGGTGGCCTTTTGCAGTGAGGCCCCAGAAAAAGTATTGCTAAAAAAAGACACAGAGGAAAGTGCACAGAGAAGTAAAAGAGGAAAATCTGAAGAAACACACAGGAATAGCACAGTATTTCTCAAGGCCTTTAATGATGTTGGCTGGTACCTTCACTGTTGTACTGGAATGCAAAGACCAGTGTCGGGATCTGCAGACCAGGAAAAAAGGTTTGTGAAAACTGGACCTCATAAACCAGGGGTATCTTTTATTCATGGAAAAGCATTCAGCATTGAGTTACACTACTTTTTCCTTCCCTTTCCCTTTCCTGGCTAATTACCATGTGCCAGACAGATAGATAGTTAAAGGAGCTCCATTCTAGACAGCTGTGTGCTTCTTACAGGGCTTAGAAAAGTTATTTGTTGGCTACAACTTCCAGAATTCCTTGGCCAGCCTTTCCACTGCACTCCAGAAAAGTAATGTATATACCTAAATAAAAAAAGCAGTGTCGAAAACTGAATGTATGGCTCAGTTCCTGTCCCTCTGTTTATGGCTAAGCTTCGAAGCAAATGAATGAAGGTGGAGAGAAAAGTTTTTTTTTAATGGTGAAATGAACATTCTCAACAGGAGTTTTAGATTCCATTGGGACTTCTCTGCCTGCAAACGAACAGGTCATTTCCAAGCTTCATTTTTCTTTAGGCCATTGGCGGGGCCAGATTTCCCTTCCCTCCTGCAGCCACCAGGCAGCTGTGTGTCGTTCTTGGTGGAGGAGGGCCTTCAGGCATTTGTGAATAAATCTGCCTGCCCCTCTTAACCTGCTGGTGGGAGCCAAACTGTTTGTTCCCTTGCGGTGCTACTCCTTTTGAAAAGAAGGGGCAAGAAACCTTCCAGCAGCCTTAGCTCCTCTAGCGATGGCAGACATGGGTTCAGTTTGGAGATGAAGTCCTAGTGGAAGTTCAAAGTTTTCCTGGAAAGTGAGGTCATGCAATAACAATGAGTATACGTGAAGCAGAGACTCCTCGTGATTCCATCTTTTGGCTCCACCGGGAGTTCGTGGTTTATTGTTCAAGTCTGCCTTTGTCTAGAGCAGGGAACGGAGGCTGGAGTATGAAAGCTGTTTAGATTTCTGGTCCGGCACAACATTCTTGAATTGGTTTCTTCTTCTGCTTGCTCTTATTCCTTTAGCTATGCTGGGCATGGGGCAGGTGCACGCTTCGTGGACTCCATCCTGAAGGTGGACTGCAGGGCTGTGGCTCTTCTCTTCGGCTGCAGCAGTGCTGCCCTGGCCGTGCAAGGCAATCTGGAAGGAAATGGGGCTATCCTCAAGTTTCTCATGGCAGGGTGGTAAGTTGCTCTGACCTCTGCTGGCCTAAACTCTCAGTCTGTTAAATCTGAGACATCAGTGGCTGAAATCCAACAGTAAGTACAACTAGAGTAGGCCCATCGGATCAATGGAACTTACGGAGGAATTGACTCGCCAAACCCCCACTGAAGCCATGGACATCCTCTAGTCGCGACTTACTACTGGATTTCAGTCACTGAGTCATTTCAGACCACATGCTCTGCTAGACATGGAATATGCATTGAAAAGATTTAGCCATCACTCTGAATGCCTTCCTCATCCTTCCTGGAGCAAGGAGAATCCACACCATATTGCTTAGCAGTATAATGGGCAATGGAAACTCATGGAAGGGGAAAAGAACACTATATGATTCTCCATCTTAGGCTGTGCTGCCTAGCAGTATAATGGGCAGTGGAAACTCATGGAAGGAGAAAAGAACACTACGTATATGATTCTCCATCTTAGGCTGTGCTGCAACAGGCAAGTACAGGTGAATCCCAGAAATATCCCTGTAGAACAGAAAGCAAGATTCTGTTGCTACCTTTTGTCCTCCCTTTAGAGAGGATGAAATGTCCAGAAGCCGCAAGGAGGATGCCTGCCTTCAGGAATGCAATTCAAGCTTCTCTCTCTCTCTCTCTTCCCCCCACCCCACCCCCAATGATGTTTCTCATCTGTAGTTGGAAAGGTATTTCTTCTGGCTCTGATTTGGCTCAGGAGGAGATTGTGTTGCCTGAAAAGTGAGGCGGCTGTGCTGTCTGGCACGTGTAATCTAGTTGTTTGCCCTGGAAACATCTCTGCACTGCATTTGCATACAAAGTTTATGCAGGATAGTTGTGGGGTTTGCGCGTGTAGGGCCGGGTGCTTGTAAGGATGGTGCAACCTTTGCAGCATTAAGCTGAGTTTAACAGATGTCTGATCCCTTCTAGTTCTACAGAAGGCCCTGGGTTCTTGTAACTTTAAAAATCTGAGGCTGGCTTACCTCGGTTTTAAACATTAAAGCTTCATAAAAGAATGAGGGCAAATGTTGAGACGCTCATAGGAAGCCTTGCCCCAGAAACTCATTGAGCCTCCAGTGACAGCATTTCAGCTGCAGGTAGAAACAGCATTTCCAAATACTGCACCACCTAATAAAGGGCCTGTTCATTATATAGAACCAACTAGGTGCCCTCCAGTTGCGATGGGCCACAACCCTTATCATCCCCAGACACCATGATCTTGTTGCCTAGAAGTGTTTTGTGAAGCGTGATCAAGAAAAATAATATGTTCTGTTTCCATGACAGCTGCTATATTCAAGCGATGTGTTTCTCTCCTCCCACCTCTTGTTTTTCAGTCCCCTGGTGCTGGGTAACCTCTGGGATGTAACTGACCGAGACATTGATCGTTACATGGAGGCGCTCCTGAAGAACTGGCTCAAGGCAGGATCAGGAGCCCCTCTGCTCCAGTATGTCATACAGTCCCGTCAAGCCCCCAGACTCAAATACATGATAGGTGCTGCTCCCATAGCCTATGGCCTACCAGTATTTCTGCGGTAGAAAACAAGAGACTATCTAGTGTACGGAAACAGGGATTTGGAAGGACTCTGATGAATTTTGATTCAGGCCTGTACTGCCTAAATGCAAACTAACCTCAGGGAATAGAGGATTAAATATTAGCCCAAAGTAGGTTGGTTTGTTCACCTCTTGCCTTGCCTTTGGTAGAAGGCCTGTTACTGCTTTTACAGGGGATGCTCCTGCCTAAGCTGCTGTTCTGTGGGAAATGTTCACATTTGCACAATGTACATATTTTGAATTTTCAGAGATTATTATAAATTATTCTTAAATCTATACGTATTTTAATGTTTCAAAAATCTGAATAAAGCTTCAAGCAGTGTGTGTGTGTTTGTATGTATATATATATATATAAAACCAATTCTGAGCTTGCATCATTGGATTAACTTTGGTCAGTGGATGACTAATCTGAGAACTGCAGAGCTGGAAGAGTCCCTATAGGCCATCGAGTCCAGCCCCTCTCAAGGAGGCACAGTGGGGGAATCAAACTCCCAACCTCTGGCTCCACAGCCAGAGACCTCAACCACTGAACTATCCAGCAGTTCATATATGTATTAAAGTTGATGGTCCTTGAGAAGTTATATCTGGTGTCTGGGGTAAAGTTTGGGGAAATTATTGGTTATGCTGTCTAGAAGATAGTAGAATTACAGTCCTAGAAAGTAACTTTTCCAAACTGTTCTGATGGTCCTACTGTTCTAGCTCTGAAGTTAAAAAAATCTGATTTTGGTGTGGCCAAACTGTTAGTGCATATACATTCCTTTATGGATTTTCACTAACATTTATGTCTTGCAGTCTTCCTTATTTCAAGCTTTAAGAAAGTGGCTGTGCACTTACAAATAAAAGCAGAGCACCTGTGATAATAAGGATCTCCCCAGCTTTTGTACTAGGATAATCATTTTTAAATGGAAAATTCCCACCAAAATAATTTATTTGTCCTTGACACAGAGGGATGTCTTAGAAAACGTTTTTTTTAAAAATACCCTTACGAAACATCAGAAGTCTAAAGTAAAAAAGGCATCTCACAAAGGTGGACATTTCAGGTAGAGCCAACAATGCAAGGAGGTCAGCAGGGCTAGACAATTATAAAGGGTGTGCTGTTCCTTTATATGCCAGTGCAAGAACTGAATTGCCCTCAGTTTTAAGATTCATATATAAATTGCCTTGAATGATACATTCAGGACACTAGTCATAGGCTGATGAGGGTTACGTGTAAAGGAACACCAAAGCAGGACTACAATGGCAGACTGCCCCCTGCCACTACAACAACATATTTATCTATGGAGGTGGTTCCCAACCTTGGGTAACCTGGGTGTTGCTGGACTGCAACTCCCAGAAGACTTCATCAGTGACTGCTGGCAAGGATTTGGGAGATTACAGAACAAAGACATGGGTTACCCAAGGTTGGGAACCAGTGATCTGAGGGAAATGGATTCTGATTAGATGGATGATCAGAGTTCATCCCTTAAAGCAATGGTTCCCAACCTTGGGTCCCCAGAAGTTCCTGGACTTCCAAGTCCCAAAAGGCTTTACCACTAGCTATGCTGGCCAGGACTTCTGGGAGTTGGGTCCTCCATGTGTTCTTAGACTTCATAGGCATCCTTCAGTCTTGCGAGACTATGGTAACGTGATCTGTACAGAGGACTTGGCACAGCGTTTAGTGTTTTGACACTGTCCAATGGAAAGGCAAGAGCCAATACAACTGGTTTCAGGGACGTCGCAGGAGTTGCCAGAATGACACGAATTGCCTTCAAGACTCCAGCTCCGGATTTTGCCTCAATGTTAACTCCTGATGCCTTTTCCATCAGTGGATATAGCCACAAGGCAATGGAGGTTTGAAATCAGAGTTTTCCTTCTAGATGGGCTGCCTTCCAGGGCTGAACGAGTCCCACCTACCCGGCCTGTTCCCTCATGGTACAGGCAGCGATGGCGACGTCTCAGTGGGGGATTGAAGTCGGAGTTTTCCTTCTCCTAGATGGGCTGCTTCCAGGTTAGACTACAAGGCTGGGAAACACTTCACTCAGGAAATGCCATCAGTCGCCATTCACCAATCTCACAAAGGACTTAATCTAAACTATTGTTTGGCCCCAAAACTCACCTAGTATGTAACAGAGAGGACGGTACATGTTGAGTTTGTGCAGGCTACCCCAAAACTCACCTAGTATGTAACAGGACGGTACATGTTGAGTTTGTGCAGGCTACCTTAAGCTATAAAAGATCTGAGCCGTGGCTTCTGCATCCAAGAGGCAATGCTTGAGCTTAGGCTTCAACCTGAGCCACCACCTCCCTATGGCAATGTATTTGTGACATCATCCTATTGTAAAGACATAGCTCTGTTGCAGAGGTAACAATTGTGAGTAGAGAAATGCAGTATTGTGATGTCGGGTATGCTGTGCATAATTTTTTTTGCATTGGCCTCTGCAACTTGCCTGGAGGCATCATCAGCTGTGCTCTTTGGGAACAAAGATTTGCCCTCTGGATTTGTTCATAAGGATTACTGTGAAAGGTAGAGTAATCCAAAGTGTTTCGGATATTCCATGTGTAATACTGGTGCTGAAAGCTATATCCAACATTCCATGCGTGGAAGGTGATTGCCTTGGCCTCCTTTGTAGCTGACTACACCCTTGTCAACCTCATCCAGGGCAGACTGGTGAGAGCATGTGAGGCTGGTAGAGGAAGAGACAGACACAGCTGAACATAACGCGACTGACTTAATGTTTTGTCACACCCTATAGTCAAAAAATATTAATGCACATACAACAGGACGTTTCTTATTATAAAAGGTTCAAATCTGTCCTTCAGTCTATGTTTTGTCACACCCTATAGTCAAAAATATTAATGCACATACAACAGGAAGTTTCTTATAAAAGGTTCAAATCTGTCCTTCAGTCAATTGACACAACGCCAATGCTTCTATTAAAAAAGCAGAAGTGGGAAAACACCATTTCTTACATATTTATTTGAATCCTTTATACCTTGCTGTTTAGGCAGAGAAATGTCTCTGAGAGACAGTATTTTGCATAGTGAAATAAATTATTTTGTCTAGTGTTTCATCTGATTTAAATGGGCATCATGTTACCATTGACTCAACCAATAAAATGGTGCAGGCCAGTGATAAATAAATAAAATTTAAAAAAAATTAAATTAAATATTTATTTGAATCCTTTTATACCTTGTTGTTTAGGCAGAGAAATGCCTCAGAGACAGTATTTTGCATAGTGAAATAAGTTATTTTGTCTAGTGTTTCATCTGATTAAATTGGGCATCATGTTACCATTGACTCAACCAATAAAATGGTGCAGGCCAGTGTGAGCTAGGCTGAAAAGACTACACACCCTTCACATAGCTTGAAAAACATACATTATGCTGACACATCACAGAGTGGTGGTGAGGGACTTTTAAGGGGAGGGGGTACGTGGCTCATGAGCTGTGCGTGGCCCCTCGAAACCCTTTGAAACTTTTTGGCAGAACTTGATTCCAAGCCCCGAAGTGCCCTCTACAGAGAAGAAAATACATTTTTGCTATGCTTTGCAGTAAACCCAGCACACCTGGACCCTCACCTTATTTTTTAAAAATTGACCACTACAAGACACAAGGGTTTTTTTCCCCCAGCAACTCCTTCATTTTTGCAAGAAATGCCTGAGGGGAGGCACAGTAGACTAGAGCAGATGCGTGGGGGTCCCAGAACTCTGGAAAAGTCTCACCCCTTGCTCTTAAGTGTTGACCAGCCTTCCTTGGTTTGAAAAAAGCACTAACAGCATATCCTCTTTCCTGTTGACTCTGAGCTCATTCCCATTAAGTTCAACGGGACAACCACATATTAAAGGTTCTAAAAGTCCAAATTTCCATTGTACTTCTCATGATGTTTATAGAAACAGATGAAACTGGCCAGCTGAGCGCCAGTTTCTCTCTCTCTCCACTTCCCCGCTACCTTCCTCACTTATTCCAGCAGTTCATGAAGAACTGGTTCTCTATCAGTGAGGAAAAGGCTAAAATAAATCCCACTGAACTCCATGGTGTCTACTTCTGCACAGAACATTGGTTCCCAAGAGTTTTTGGACTGCACTTCCCAGAGACCTTAACCACCAGCTGTGCTCGCCTGGGGTTTCTGGAAGCTGCAGTCCAAGAATTCGCCGGAGGGGGGGTTCTGGAAGCTGCAGTCCAAAAACACCTGGGTTACACAAGGTAGGCAACCACTGCCACAGACAATTATACTGAAGTCAATTCCTGGATGCTTTTTTGGAGTATCATTCCATTCCATTCCATCCCACCCTTCTTTATACTCTAGTGTCGGATGCGCAACCGGAAATGAGAGCACCGTAGAACGTTCAACATATACGCTACTCTTTGTGGCAGCCGGGACTGGGGCGGGGTCTTGATGTCATCCTAGGAGCGTTGACCATAGACTCCGCTGGCTAGAAGGGCCACCAGTGCGGAAAACGGCTCCCTCCCTCCCTCTCTCTCCCCGCCAAGATGGCGCAGCAGGTGAACATTTCGGAGCTCTCCTTCCCGCAGCTGGAGATGCTGAAGAGCCAGCTCGACCAGGTAAGGAAGGCGGGGGGGAAATGCCCTGCGAGGCCACGGGTGCCTCCTCGGCAATGGGGGCGTCCTTCCTCCTCCCCACTCGAAGTAAAGTGGCTGCAGCCCCGCCTAAGTCACCGGGTGGCAGGGTTGACAGACGTGGAGGCTTCCTTCTGTGTAGGGTTACTCGGGAGTAAGTCAGCAGGTTTTACTCCCAGGTAAGCGCAGGTGAGGTTGCAGCACCACTTTTGGGATCTCCTTCGGAAGAGTCAGCATTTGAGGGAACAGGATAAGGCTCTGTTCGGCGTTGACTTGTGGGGATGGTTTACACAGATGCGCGAGTGAGGGTCAGGCAGGCGCGGTCTCCCTCCGGCCGTTACGGGGTTTGTCTTGGACCCCTACCGACTGACCATCATCGCCTGGTTGTGGGCCCGCCCCGCCGTGCCCTGCCCGCGGAGGCACCAAAGGCCGTCCTTCCTTTAGGTCCCCTCACCCCACCCCAAGCCTCCCTCTCACGACGGGGGCGCCTCAGGACACCAACTACACTTTCTCCTCCTCTCGAAGCCCATCTTGCCTCTGAGGTTGGAGGCATTTGGGGGCTCAGGGAGCTTTTGGCTTTTCAGGTCAAAGCGGTGCAGCTTTGTCACCTCAAAACCGTATGAAGCTGTATGAAGGAGATGATAAGTGATGATTCTTATTCCAGCTCCCTCGTCCATGCGATTTTCTTGTAAAGCTCTGCAAGGCATCTGCTCCAGTCTTTTAAAAATCCGTCCCTTTTTCCAGTAGAAAGACTGTGCTTGTGCAGTGATTCTGTTTCTTCATTCTTCCCCAAAATTCATGAAAGACTTCTCTTGTTATAGCTTGTTACTTGGTGTTTTTACTGGGTTTGGGATGCTGGGAACAGATTAGAGATGTCAGATTATAAATCCTTCTCTCCCTCTTCCTTTCAGATATGTTGATTAACCCCATTCAGTGACTAAATTCGGTGACTAATACTTTTATATAGCACCTTCTAGAGAGTTCCTCATGACAATTCATTTAGGCCAGTTATGTTATTCTCCTGCCATAAACAAGAGGGTGGGACAACTGAGGACTGTTTAAAACTGTTCAAGATGAAACACTGTATTTATTCACCAAGAAGTAAACTCCACTGAGCGCCCTATGACTTACAGTATTTCAGAGTTGGCTGTCGGGTTAGTGACTTTGTTCCCAATGAGATCTGATTTCTTAAAGGTTGTGTTGCTACCTTTGCAAACTGATAGGATGTGCCTAGCTTCTCTATTTACTTTTGTTCAGTGTCCCCAGATATTATTGGACTACAACTCCCAGAAATCCTGACCAGCACAGTTAGTGGTGAAGGCCTCTGGGAGTTTTAGTCCAAGAATATGGTGACCCAGTGTTGGGAGCCACTGCTTTATGAGATATGTGTATGCACCTGCTTTGAAACTTGCTGCTCTTGTTGAAGTCCTCACTGAGAAAACTGAGTGCCTAAACTGATTAAAGAAATGTGTTTAATAATTTAGTAACTGTAGCTGAGTTATAGAAGTTGATTCCCCAGCTTGCTTCTCCAGGAATTCAACGTCTGTACCCTCATTGTGCTGTCCAAATCCAATGAAATCTGAACTGTCATGCAACTATCAAATTTTGTTGGTGTAAAAGAACAGAAATTGTCCTTATAATTTATGGGAGCAAATTTCACATATTGTCCAATGCACTGCTAATTGGCTGCTTTTGTGCAAATGTATGGGAAGACTTCCAAACAATTATGAACTGAAACATGTCTTGTCACCATTGTTTCTGATAGTAATAGAATTGCAAACATGTTGACCATGTTAACTGGATGGCTTGGAGGTGGGCTGAAGGACCTGTGGCCTTCTAGATGTTGATGAACTACTGCTCCTGTCATCAATTACTGCTAGTCAAGGCAGATGGGAACTGGAGGCCAACATCTGGAGAGACCTTAGGATCCCCAGACTTGTTTTGGAACTTGTGTGTTCCATGTCACAGACAGGCAAAATTGTGTGTTCAAAAAGATATGGAATAAATATAGGACCTTCTGTTTGAAGATTGACTTCCTTATCTAGTGAGAGGAGCAGAAGGTGAAATGTGTAAGCCCAGGGCTGCTGTCAGTCTTTCCGGTCCACTCTCTTGCCATGTTGCTTCTCAGTTTCTTTCTAGTTCATTGTGATGTTACTGTGAGTGGCATACAAAGCTGGCAGAGCTTTTTCATGAGCTGTCCAGTGACATCAGGGAAGAAGGCTATGTGTTTGCATTCCCCTTGTAGATTCCTGTGCTGTCATGGCTTCTGGTGGGAACAAAGTCCATTGAAGCAGCTTTGGAATCTCTGGTCCAACTAAAATTGTTAAGCTGGGGCTGAGGGCCTACTGCTGCTGAACTTTGAGGTTTTTTAAATGCCTTTTTTGTAGGAAATGGAGTTCCTTTCTTCCTCCATTGCTCAACTTAAGGTGGTGCAGACAAAATATGTGGAAGCAAAGGACTGTCTAAGTGTATTGAACAAAAGCAATGAAGGCAAGTACTACTTATCTTTCAAATAT